GACTGTGTCCCAGGCACCGGTGACATAGGCCTTGGGGATTGAGAAGCGGCCGACCAAAAGGTGCTTCATCTTGGCTTTTTTTCGTTTGTCACCCCTGGCATTCGCATTGAGCCCTTCTTGTTTAAAGGGGCCAGATATGTCTGTTGTCAAAACAAACATACTCGGATGCTCAATACGCTTGTGTCTGTGTCCGGTCGCACCGTGGAGGACACATTGGAGGCAGTCTCTCCGATAGGGGTAGTGCCCCGACCGGGCATGGTCCTCCCATGCTTGTTTTGTCATGGCTCTCAACGATCCTGTTGTTGGGGCGAACCTTGCTTCACCCACCACCTTTTGAACATGTACTTCAAGCTGCCGAGGCCATTGCCTTGAGGTATCCTTTTCACCACAAGACCCCTCCTCAGGTTGGCGCAAGCCATCAAGGTGGTTCAGGTCGTAGTTCGAGAGCAATCGTGACGATCTTCTTGGACCACCTCCTAAGGCACCCTGATCAAACTTCTGCGACTTCATGCCCGCTAACGACTCGAACTCGCCCATGACAGCTTCCTCGGGACCACCTGGGCTCATCATTTCAGGACCAACGCAGACAAAACCCGTCCTTCTCGAAGGGCTTCCAAATCTCGTGACGACATAGAGGAGGATCATCTGGGCAAGTCTCTCCTTCGTTGTCTCATCACTAGACGAAGCATATCCGCCCGCACCCACGATGACCTCAATCCTTCCAGTCGCTGCCCCCCACAAGAGGACCCCAAACATTTCCCTAGGTATTCTTCCGGACACAGTGATGCAGGTGAGGCCATTGTCCTCCAGCGATGCGAACGATGGAGCTCCTTCTTGATGAGGGCAAAGTTGAACGAGCCACCTGGTAGAACTCAAGAGAAGCTTTCTTCTTCTTCGGTTCCACGATGTAGCCTTGAGTGTCTCCCAGCCCTTTTCAATGTTCACATCCACTGGCAAAGCGTCCCTGGTCACTGGGCTAAGGCCTTTCAGGAACGATCCTTCAATCCCCTTCCACAGGTCGATCTTCTTCCCGGTCTTGACAAAGCGCTCAAAGGACGTTTTCCAGCTCACGAATCCTCTCCGCCTCAATCTGATCGAAAAGGTTTTGTGCCTGAGCCAAGTTGAGTTCCGGGCATCCCGACCTCAAGGTTGTCTTTAACACCCCAAGAGTTGGGTGTCTGATCCTCAGCCCCTTTTTTCCCCAATGAACTTCACACCCAATCTTCACTAAGTCGCCCATCGGAAGGAGGGACTGTATATCCAACGACGAGGCCAAGATCGATCCTGCACTGTTCTGGTAGAGCTGGGCACTCTGGTTGTTCGCCAAGACCACGTTGACCTTTGAAGCTGAACTCCACTCCTCTTCACCCTTAGGCTGTCTCATGATGTTCGTGGCACCAGAGTCGATGAGCACGTTGGGGGGCTTCAGGGCTTCCTGGAACACTCGCTTGTCCCTAAAGGATTTCAGCTTCCCGAAGTCGAAATCATCGGTCACCCTCAAAGCCCTCAACCTCAACTCATCAAGCTGTCGTTGTAGACCTTCCAGTGTTGTTCGACCCTCTGGCGAATTCCCTTGTCCCACCAACGATCTCAACGCCTGGGCTGCCTCCGACACCGCAGCATGCATTTCTCTAGATCCTGATCCCGACACAGTAGAGGTCAATGTCGAGGAAGGTGAAGTTGGGTTGGCTGAGGCTCGGGTTCCTGAGGCGTCGAGGTGGAGTGGATCCCATCTTGAGGAAGAACTTCAGCTTTAGCTGTAGTCGTAGGCTTCGAAGGAAAACCTTTCGGCCTTGCACTAGGGTCAGACTTTGCCTTCGGGGATGGGCTTTGCTTCGTAGGACATGCTGCAGCGAAGTGACCTTCACCTCCACATTCAAGGCATTTGTCCCTCTTCGTAGTTCCTTCGAAAGTGTGTTTGAAGCGACAATTTCGTCCAAAGCGACACCCTTCTGGAACCTTTCCAAACCACTGGCGCAATCGCTGGTCGCCCTCCTTTTGCTCAGACCCGTCTTGCTTGCCCTTGCCCTTTCCTTTACCCTTTCCCTTTGACTCTTCAGGTCGGAAAGGCTTCAGCTTGGTGTCGCTCTGCTGTGGGGCTGCCTTCGCCGGGGTCGGTGTCTGCTTAGCGCCTGCCATAGAGAGCAACTCAATCTCAGCTCGAAGATGTTGATGGTAGTGCATTGTGGTTTCCAGGTTCGGATTTGTGTCAACCTGGAGCTTGTTGCGCATGAGGTTCGTTCTGAACTCCGACTCCGGAAACTTGGACAACACCTCACCCACGATCAAACCCAAGCCTCGGGTGAGCACGACTGGATCAGGGCACACCAATGACAGCTCTTTGGCTCTTGTAACCCACTTTTCCCACTGCCTCAACGACTTCGCAGCGGAATCAGGATCACTGCACTTAGCCGGCTCCGACAATGAACGAAGGATGTGGGTCTTCTCCTTCTCACCGCCCGGGGCATACAAGGTGAAGACACGATAGATGATCCCCAAAGTGCTCTTTGCACACTGCCTTGAAACCATCTCTCGTAATCTCATCAGGAAGAGCACTCAGAATCATTCCAGCTGCCCTCATATTTACCCGGGAATACTTCCCGAGCTCCAAGTCCCCAGGAGAAGGATCCTTGAGGAGAAGGCGGTCGTACGGAGTGCTATTGACCCACTGTTGATACATGTCCTGGGCCCTCGTCTTCACCGCCTTCCACCACACCGCACTGGTGTCGCTGATGTCTGACATAGGACTGTCAATCAGTTCCACCCAGTCCTGAACCGCCACAGCGCTTTCCGGCGTTCCTGGAGGTCCCAAAACCGCCAGGGTCGTTACTCCCGGCTTGACTTGCTCTGGGGTCTCATCCTTCCGATTGAGCATCGCCATCTGTGCCTGCTGGAGCTGTGCCATCCCTGCCACCAGAGTGTTGAGCAGGTCTCCACCTCCAAATCCTTGTTCCTTGCCTCCAGCACCTGCACCACCCCCCGGTTCTTCGGGTGATTGGGAAGGTTAATAGATTGAATAGATTGAATAGATTGAATAGATTGAATAGATTGAATAGTTTGAATAGTTTGAATAGTTTGGGGCCCCAGGCCGGGCCCCCAAACTATTCAAACTATTCAAACTGTTCAAACCCCTCCCCTCTCCTCCCAGGGACCCCCCTAAACTATTCAAACTATTCTAACCCCCCCCCCTTCTCCTCCCAGGGACCCCCCAAAACTATTCAAACTATTCAAACTATTCAAACTATTCAAACTATTCAAACTATTCAAACTATTCAAACCCCCGGGGTTTGAATAGTTTGAATAGTTTGAATAGTTTAGGGCCCCAGGCCGGACCCCCAAACTATTCAAACTATTCAAACCCCCCCCCCTCTCCTCCCAGGGACCCCCCAAAACTATTCAAACTATTCAAACTATTCAAACTATTCAAACTATTCAAACCCCCAGGGTTTGAATAGTTTGAATAGTTTGGATAGTTTAGGGCCCCAGGCCGGACCCCCAAACTATTCAAACTATTCAAACCCCCAGGGTTTGAATAGTTTGAATAGTTTGAATAGTTTGAATAGTTTGAATAGTTTGAATAGTTTGAATAGTTTAGGGCCCCAGGAATAGTTTGAATAGTTTGAATAGTTTAGGGCCCCAGGCCGGACCCCCCCCCCCCAGGGTTTGAATAGTTTGAATAGTTTAGGGCCCCAGTTCGGACCCCCAAACTATTCAAACTATTCAAACCCCCCTCCGCCCTCCTCTCCTCCCAGGGACCCCCCAAAACTATTCAAAACTATTCAAACTATTCAAACTATTCAAACTATTCAAACTATTCAAACTATTCAAACCCCCTGGGTTTGAATAGTTTGAATAGTTTGAATAGTTTAGGGCCCCAGGCCGGACCCCCAAACTATTCAAACTATTCAAACCCCCCCCCCTCCTCTCCTCCCAGGGACCCCCCAAAACTATTCAAACTATTCAAACTATTCAAACTATTCAAACCCGCAGGGTTTGAATAGTTTGAATAGGTTGGATAGTGTAGGGCCCCAGTTCGGACCCCAAACTATTCAAACTATTCAAACCCCCCCCCCTCCTCTCCTCCCAGGGACCCCCCAAAACTAGTCTAACTGTGAGTCTAACTATCAAACTATTCAAACTATTCAAACCCCCAGGGTTTGAATAGTTTGAATAGTTTGGATAGTTTAGGGGCCCAGGCCGGACCCTCCAAACTATTCAAACTATTCAAACTATTCAAACTATTCAAACTATTCAAACTATTCAAACCCCCAGGGTTTGAATAGTTTGAATAGTTTGAATAGTTTGAATAGTTTGAATAGTTTGAATAGTTTGAATAGTTTGAATAGTTTGAATAGTTTAGGGCCCCAGGCCGGACCCCCCCCCCCCAGGGTTTGAATAGTTTGAATAGTTTAGGGCCCCAGTTCGGACCCCCAAACTATTCAAACTATTCAAACCCCCCTCCGCCCTCCTCTCCTCCCAGGGACCCCCCAAAACTATTGAATAGTTTGAATAGTTTAGGGCCCCAGGCGTGACCCCCCAAACTATTCAAACTATTCAAACCCCACCCCCCCCCCCCAACAAAAGGACGAATCATCACATTATACACAAAGGTTCCTGCCTCATATATATATATATATATTTACATAGAAGTATACGTGTACGTCATTGTCGAGGAGTTGCTGTGGGGCACTGCCCTCACTGGTGTCACTGAGTCGCTGCTGGAATTAAATTGCAAGTCCTTATATCAGTGTCACATCAAAGCCTTCGTTGGGCAGCCACTCTGAAATGACGGGTGGCGTCCTGCCTCCCCTCAGCAACATCTTGAAACTCTTGGAATCGGAGGAGACACTCACACACACACAGACAGACAAACAAACAAACGGAGACACACACGGAGAACGCGCACGCTGACACACCAACACGCAGAGAAGGGGCATGACAGACAGAAAACTATAAACACATCGGTAGTTGTGCATGGACACGGGGTGCGGCCCAGTGGCTCGTCTTCTCTGCTCTCCTCAACACAGAATGTCGACATGTCTTCAACAATGCTGGAGGTCAGGCACGCTAGGTATTAGCATGTGTCCCATGACTCTTCACCGAATCCGATGATAATCCCATATTGCGGCAAGCTGCTCTCGCTGCGGACATGTCGGCTGGAAGATATTCTCCTTCTCTTTCGAACCTGTCCTGCCTTAGCTACAGAAAAGGAAGCCGCGGAAAAATGGAATGCTTCGCCTCAAACCCCACGTGCCAAAACATCCCAAGCTTACAAGCCCTAAGTCGTGCCAACTTCAATCACTTCTGTCCACCCTTACAAACATAGCTTAGCTTGAAGGCTGCCAGCGCCAGCTCGGGGTTCAGCTAAGAATCTTCCTCGGTCCGGATCTTGCCACGGGAGGTTCTCCTCTCCTGCAGTCGTGTTTGCTTATAAGTTGACTCGCTGACAGCTCGGCCAAACCCGGCGAGGCTGTTGCTGCTTTTGCCACTCAGCTGCTTCACACAGCGGGGTCCACATGGGTCCACATTGGCAAAAGAAAATCGAAACACCCACCAAGCGGACTTCAAAAATCCATACACAGACCCATATCATACCTGTCATCAAGTCCAAAGTAAAAACTAGGATTCCGATGGGCACGGGTGCAACAACGTGATAGGCCAGGGGAGCACTGCCGCCTACTCCCGAGTGTGAGCTTCTACTTCAAACAGCAATCTATGCAAGACCCTCACGTCAGAGCGAAGTTTTCAATGCAGTGCCTCCCCGAGAACTTAAGTAAGTAGTAATTCCAGTGCCGTATTCCTCTTCCTCCGTCAAAAAAGATTGCAGTTTACAGAGTCCATGGACATATGCGGAAGAGCCCGATGTTTTCCAGAAGTGAAGAGCAAATGTACCACGGAAAATGAGCTGCTGGTGTGCCGAAGCAGTCTTTGTATGACAGGGGGACGTCCACAGAATCATGATGTGTAAATAATTTTCTTGTTGACCACCCCATGGCTTCCTCAAAGGAAGGCACCAATGATCCTCGTTTTCTTGGAAGGAGAACACTCGATTGGGCAGCTGCGGGGGAGTAATTCTGGGTTGATGGCTCATCTGCACACTCCTAACATGAAATCCGACTTCGCCCAACCCTGAAGGTCGCACCTGCCCACTCCCCAAGAGTCCCTCGAGCCTGTCTCTCGCGGCTGGCAGCTTGCCCGAGATCGCGCTCCTCTCCGCGCACCTGGGCTGAGTCAGCAGGTTCTACTGGCTTCTGTAGTGAATTCTCGGTGGGACAACGGGGTGGTACTCAAATTTCTGAAACATGACAAACGCGCAAACATTTGCCAAGTCGAGGCAAGCTGGCCGATTTCTCGCCATTAGCGGCATGGGCAGCCTTGCTGACTGAAATGGCAGATGAACTGGCAAAGCTGTGGTGGCTGCCATGTTCCAAGATTGAAGCAGCTTCCACGGGAAGCTTCTGCTGCTGGAAGAACTGCAAGTGCGAACTGGTCCCTAATGCTACGGTAAGGCGAGCGTCTCGTTTTGGAGGTTCTTGGCTTGTACTTGGCTGCGGCTGGCTTTTCGCCCGAGCCTGTGACCACACAAGAGCGGCTTTGATTCCCACCGAGCGCCCATCTATCAACCGCGCCTTGGATTTACGGGCCCTTTGTGCACGCTTCTTCTCGAGTTCCTCATACTTGTCACGAACTTGCTGGTAGCCTGCCGGGAGATGCAATCAAGTGTTTTGACAAGCGGTGTGTGCAATGTGCCGTGAAAGGAAACTCTTGGCACCTTCATGCACGCGAAAAGTCAAATGTGCTTTGTACTCCTCCTCGTCCAGGTACCCCATGCCACAAACCTCACACGCTTGCGGCTGCAGCTTCTCCGCCGACTTCCGCCTCAGGGAAGCAGTAGACGCGACAACCTCACACAGTGCAGCTCAAAAAGCCGTGTTTTAGCAGTCTTCTTCTGCATCTAAAGTGCATCTCAAGCTTTTGCAGCGAGTCAGCTTCTGCACTAAGCTCGCGAGCTTGCCGACGAAGTGTTGATCTCGGCTAAGGAAAGCCACGGGGGGGGGGGGGGGTCAAGCAATAGCAAAAGGGTGCGGAGCCAGGACGGTATGTATAGCAGGCGAGCCATCAGTCGTACGTTCAACGAACGCCGATACCCGTCACAACATCATCAGGACTGCACAGACGCAGTCACGCGGCCTTTGATCAGCCCCAGTGAACATAGCCCTTGCTTTTCATGTTTGAAACAATTCAATTTCCTGGCTGAGTGTCGACATGTTGTTGTAGCCCCCAGTAGTCAACGCCATTGCCTGCAGCTGTGGCTTGGAAAACAGTTCGTCAACAACCCAGTCGCCCACGAATGCTCACAACTTAGGCTTCGCATTCCAGGTAGCGCACATCCAGATCTTCTGATCGCTTTGTCTTGAATGCTGCCTGAGGACGTGCACTCGCATATCCAGCTGGTGGTGGCGCTGAAGCCCGTAAAATTGAAAGCGACACAGAGCGTGTGTGCCAGCAAGTCCAGCTATCGAGATGTATAATATACGAAGTTTTCGTGGGCAATCACAAGCATACTGGACCCATGAAGCCCCAAATAAAGGCCGTATAGAAAAGGGCTAGTAGGCATTGCTCATTGTCAACATTGAAAAACTCATTTCCGCCCTTTTTCTGGTCATTCCCCTGTCGAATGGAAACCACCCCTTTGCAACAGGCTTCGCAGTTCGCCTGGATTACCCTTAGATCCCTTAGATCCCAACCTCCTCGACTGGGGAAACCACCCCTAAACCCTAAACCCTAAACCCTACACCCTCTGAACCCTGAAGGCGACCCTCGGCCTCTTCCCTCATTGCTTTGAGCTTCTCGGCCACCTCCTCTGACAGCACCCGTCGCCTCGGGTCGTCCTTGAGGCGCTCCAACTCTTTGCGGCTGAAGGTCTCGAACTCCTGGGCAGGGCCCGTAGTTTAGGGTTTAGGGTTTAGGGTTTAGGGTTTAGGGTTTAGGGTTTAGGGTTTAGGGTTTAGGGTTTAGGGTTTAGGGTTCGTAGTACCCCATGGTCACATGGGACGCTTCTGAAAGTTATGGTCCCTTTTTGGGGACCCGTTTATTAGGGGGCACCTCCTACTAAGGACGTCCCCCAAAAAGGACCACGCTTTAGAGAAATGACCACATACGAGTAGGTTGTTTACAGTCAGTTTTGCAAAGAAGTTGTGCCACCTGGATGGCGCAAGATGGATCTGAAAAGCAGTGTGAAAGGATGCCTGGTTTGAGCTACTTCCCAGAGTGCCCATACCCCTTAGTTAGGGAATATACCTTAAATAATATGGGAATCCTTAATCACATGACTTCAGGCATATTCCTTAAGGAGTATTGGGCTCTTTGGGTTGTGATTGCACCCAGGGCTCTGCCAACACTTCCTCGCATTGATTGAAGCACTCGTCCTCCTGTGCGTGCCCGACATCCCATGGGTTTGGAGTTTAGGGGTTTCTTTCGCTCCCGCATAGCTGGCCGAACCGCGGGCAGGGATGTAGGGTTTAGGGTTTAGGGTTTAGGGTTTAGGGTACTGGAACTGGCATGCTCAGAAACTTCTGACGGCTGGCAGAAACCGTCTTCTTAATGCCCAGGCGGCATATTCCATTCGCGTCTCGCTCTGCTCTGCACCATCTGCGTGCTGAACAAATCGGTCCTTACGGTACATGTGAGACACAAGTGCGTGCCTTGACATCCGTAGGATGATGCTGCTACTAATGAGACCAGATGCCCGAATGATGTCGGAGTGTATCTTCGAGCACATCCTCAAATCGCGTTTCTGGATTCCACCAAGCACGGCCTTACATCCATAGGCTCGTGCTGTCAAGCGTGGCAGTGGGGTCTGGCCACTACTACAACATGACTCACCCACCCGCCGGTGGAACAACACCTACCGAAGGCCCGAATATCCTAGAGCATTGATTGCGACGGCACCCTGCAGACTAAGCCTAAACCAAGAAATGGCAAAAGAAAACATTGAGAAAAAAGAAACTTTAGCCCAGCACAGCATGAGGAATTGCTGAGGTGAGAGAGGGGGCTGTGCCATCTCAGATGGGAGCCTTGTCGTAGGGGCACAAACCAACCAAAAAGCTTTTGCAAACCTTGGAGGGCCACAGTCGGATAGAACTCACAGCGAATTGCGTGGGCTGCCTGAGACCCCTACGCGTCCCCAAGCGTCTAGGCCCATGACAGTCTTGTCTTTCCAGTCATCTGACAGCTGTTTGCCTTTTTTGCCTGGCAAGCATCGGCCGGCTTCCACATGCATGGCCGCCCTGGCCCTTTCAGAGAGAAACTCCCTGACGATCGGCGCTACAAGTAATTAGGTATACGAACACAGTCTGCAAGTCTGCCCAAGGAACCTACATCTCGTTGAGGACCCATGAGGGCATCGAGCATCGCGCGTGCCTCGTTCATGCCTGGGCCGAGCGAACAGCGCGCACTCAAGGGCTGCATTTGCGGCACGGGCATCTGCTACTGCTACAGTGCAACGCTCTGAAAACCCTGCAATGCAGACAGCGCAAGCATGCACCGAACCAAGCGTCTGTCAGTCCTGCTTGCGGCTCACAGGCTGGGGCCGCTAGGCCACCAGAGAGCCCAGTTGAAGGCAGCGGCACCAAGTCACGCCATGGTAGCCGGACTTTGAAGTACACTTGCCGCCCAGAATCGCTCAGTAGCTACAGGAACTGAAGGGAGCTGAAGGGCTGAAATAGCCGTCTGCTGCAAGCCTCTCTCTGCGGGTCATCGAAACATCTGGCACCACAAGCCACTCGGAACAACCCCTCCCTCAGCAAGCCGCACAGAAACCGCTCCTGATGTGTTGCTTTGACAACTCCTGTTCAAATAAGTGGGGCGCAGGTAGCAGCAGCTACGGTACCCGCGACCAACGGCTGCGCCGGTAACCCGAGTTTCGAGATAGTCGGGGATATGCTCGGCTGCAGGGCGCTGCCTGGAACAAATATTCGAAGTCTACCTCTTCAACATCCTGGATGCCAACATCATCCTTCACCTGGCTGCAGACGGGGCTCTAGTAGGGCTAGTTGTCCCCCCCCCCTAAGTACCTCTTCACAAGGGCCCAAGTGCATCCCAACAGGGGCTGGCTCTTCCCGAGTATCTTAAAGGGTACTTGGGGTCTAGGTCCAGGTTGGGTCTGTGCAGATCAGGGGCAGATTTCATGGCCGTCGGAAGAGCGGGATCACCTGAAAAAGGGCGAACCAATTGGTGCGCTGCATGCCGCTACTATGCACCGGAAAGTATTTTATACACAATACAGTATTGTTCTTAATGCGAATATTGTTCATTAATATACACACATATTCTACTGGCACGCCATGACTGCACAAACGAGTGACTAGCAGCAGCACAACCCGAACCCTCCCTTCCTGAACGATCCTTCCGCACCGAAGCTTTGTGCAATCGGGGGTCCCATCTTGATGTGGCCTGTGGAACAGTTCCACTTGCCACCAAAGTGTCGCTTCTTCGGCGAGCGTTGCCTTACAATTCGGATATATGGGGGTGGTTGCTTGCCACCTTCGAAAGCAGTGTGAAAAGTAGCGGCATGTGATAAGCTCATGTAGCCTCACATGGCCTGCCATAGCCTGTAATTGTCCGCTGCTTGCCGAGAAGCTGGATGAGAAAGCGGCCACCCTCTATGTCGAAGACCCAGACCTGACTGTCTTTGGCCCCCCACACACCCGCTCACGCACTTTGCTTAAGGAAGTCCGGCTTCCTTCTACGCGCGTGTGTGCAGGACTGAGTGGTCCTAAGGGTGTTTACGCAACTCAGAACAACATAAGATGGGAGTACAGGATAGGATGCCATCCCTTGTCAAGAGGACGCGTCAAAAAATGACTGTGCAAACGCAGGACGCTCTGCAGCACACAGGAGGAAAACTGGCCACGGTCATCTTCGACCAAGTTACGTGCACAGCACGATGCCATACGCTCCTTAGGCCATTCACACACTCTTAAACTACTCCTGCTAGTCAGTTCAAGGATTGACACCGGTCCTTTGACGCCATCTCAACCAGACCAAGGAGCTCATTGTAGGCTTCGATTCTTCTGCATGGATCCACAATTACCTAGTGTCGAAGGCTTCAGAGCTGTCTCGAAGGGGGCTTTGGAGCTCCAAGCCCGTCGACGCCCCTCAACCCAACGACTCGGACAGGTTGCATTCAGGTCCTGCGCCCTGTCCAACATGGAGATGTCTCCAATCCTGTCCAGCAGTTGCTGACTTTTCTTGTTGTGCCGCTCCTGACAGGGATGGCAGTATGTATCCACATTACGCCGCGCTGCCTCTGATATCTGAGCAACGGATCGCCACTGCACTGCGAACCAGATTGAACCAGCACATCATCGGGACTAACTATCCACACTGGAAGCATAGGTTTCATCGGAGAGGGCTGCCAAAAAGGCCAGCTACAGTACCATCCTCATCGGAGTCCACTTTGGGCAACATTTCCAGGTAGGTGCGAATCTGTTTGTGCAGGAAGTGGAAGAGTCTCCGCCTTGCACAGCCGAGCAAGTGCATCTCTCCCTCCATAAAACGTGTGTCTCAGGCGTGGCAAGCGACGCTCCTGACTGCGAACAACCGGAATTACACCAAGATGGGCATTTCCCCAAATGGGGGTACCCCCTTTTCTAACCCTTACTTAAAGGGACCCCCAAAAAGGGGTACCCCCATTTTCAGAAACCGCCAAGTCCTTCCTTTGCAACTTCCTGAGGCCCGGGCGAGTACTCCGGCGCTGCCACGAGAACGAAGCTCGGATCCCTTGGGGCTTCCACCCTCACCGCTACCCCCCCCCAGGCGACTCGCATGGTCTCTTAACGACTGCAGGCGCGGCATTGTGGGGGGATTTCCGAATTGGGGGGGTACCTTATTGAGGTCCTTAATTCTGAGGGGATCCTACTTTTTTTGGTCATCTATATTGGGGGCCCCCTATTTTCGTAAACCCCCATATCCGGTAGGTCCCTACGGCGCTGCTTGGGGAAGTCCTTGAGAGCCGGGCTGAGTTTGGTAGGCCTGCTCCAGCTCCCCGACACCTGCAAGCCAGAAGGCCCCTAAGCTCTGACGCAGTGTGGAGGGTTCAGCATGGCGATGAAGCACCGCAACTCCTCCCACGTCAGAATGAGCAAACGATACCGTGCCTATGTACTTCAGCTCTGAGGCTTCCTTGATGTCCTGGGCAACCAACCAGCAATAAAGGGGGCTATACTGCAGGGTTTAGGGTTTAGGGTTCAGGGTTTAGTTTTGCCACCCGCCTAGCTGAGCCCAGAGGGCCACTCTGCAGGGACAAGTCGGGGATACGGTCGGCGTGCTTCGCGTTTGAGAGAGGGGCGGGAATATCAACAAAGGGTTTACTATTTAGGATTTTTGTTTGGCCACCGCACGGGTTTAGGGTTTAGGGCAACTTCTGGCCGACTCATGCCCGAATGCCAGATCTCTATTGAATCTCCCTGGCAGGAGATGATGTAGAAGCATGCAGAAGCGCTTTCGAAAGCTCAGGAAATGTCTCGAAACCTCGTGCCTTGGATATAGAGACTGGGATCAGGGGATCAGAAGCCCTCCTCGCAAACTTCCACGGTTGTAAGGCGTAGTTTTGGCGTGAGATGATGGCGCATTGCGTGGGGTGGCAACGGCGTTTTTGATAGTAACGGCCAGCTGGTAGGGCTGAGGCTGAGCCCTTCCGCTACCAGCAGTTTGCAGGTCTGTGAATTCTGCCCTGAACTGCCGTTCGCCATCGTGGAGCGCTTTCGGCAGACTGACAGTCTGAAGACTAGGCGTCCAGTCCAGATTCCACTCAGTTCTACAAGCCTTTGCTGTGGGTCAAGAGCGCAAAAAAGAATCGAGGTGGCGCTTGTGAGCTCAAGTGGCCGAGGCGGGCGTGCGAAGACTTTATCTGCCCTTGCATGCCTTCGGGCGCTAAGCGCGCCGCATAGAAGATCTTGCGCAGCTCCGGGGGCTTCTTCCTGTCACAGCAGTTCGCATTGTGGAAGAGATGCACTATGTGCTGAACGTCAGAAAAAAAGATTCAAGGACTGCAGGGGCCAATGTGCAAATATGTAAGAATCGTAACGAACGGAGAAGATTGAAGAAGCATAACAAACTGCTGGAGAACCCTCGCATGCGCCGCACGGTAGCATGTATGTCCACATGTTCAAGCCAGGTACCAGAACACACACCGCACCCCAAAACCCTAAACTCAGCAAAACACCGGAGTCTGTCTGGCTCTCAGAATGAATCACACCCCGAATACCAGCCGCTAGCCCGGACGCTTTCAGATTTTGTTTCTTTTTTTTACGTTGCGGCCATGGCGCAGCGACACGACGTAGACATCGATCCTTGGAGCACCAGTTGTGCAGCTTCAAACCCAGGCTTCGAGGTTAAGGCCGAACGCAGGTAACGCAGGAGTTGCAAACATGGACATGGACCCAGTACAAGGGCCATATGGGCATTTCCCAAACTAGGGGTACCCCTTTTATACCCCACAGAGAATAGAGTCCCTTTAAACCCCCAAGAAGGCCCCCCCCCCCCCCCCGTTTTTCGGAAACCCCCATATGGGCTCATGACCACAGGATCTTCATTGGCCCCCCAAAGAGCACACAGCACCCTAAACCCTAAGCCCTAAGCCCTAAACCTTAAACCCTAAGCCCTAAGCCCTAAACCCTAAACTTGCCCTTCCGAGGTGCCACTGCCGCAGCGTTTCACCCTTGAACTCAGAAATTTCTTTGCAGCCTTGGGGGCCGGGTATGTCCACTGCTGTATGCAGAGTTCATGGCCGGTGGCATACAAGAGCTGGGCCAATATTGCAAATGCGAGGGGCTGAACACAAACTCGTACTTGTGATCCTCAAACTTCATCCCGGACTCGGCATCCAGATGCTTCTTGCCTCAGATTTGAAGGCCTTCCGTCATTGAGCCTTGACCATGACAGGCCCCTTGCCTCGTCACCTGAGCCTGCAGCTACTCTCTCCCCCAAATCGGATACCCACAAGAAGTCCCAAAACATGGTCATACATAGGGAATTCGCAAACTCTTTTTCAAACCCGTGCTATGCAACTGCCTGAAACGGGCATGCGTCAGCGCATACAGCGCCATCAGACCGATGGAAGGAAGAGCTCCCAGAATAAGGATTATCCTATTTTGGGGATTTTCAAGGGTCCCCCACCCCCCCCCCTCCCTTCTTTGGAAATACCCATATTCTCGGAATTGCAAAAAAAGGTGGAAGGAATAAGGGGGTGGATTCTTGGTGCTCCTTGCCAGGGCACAAGCTTCCAAGGAGGGCATCCCAGACCTCGGCCAAGCACTTCCGCCCGTACTTGGGCAACCCCGTGTAAAGCTTAAGAGAAATGCTTGTATAAAAGAATGATTAAGAATGTTAATATGTGAAAATTATTTTCAGTATTAGGAATTAGTATTTTCAATTATTTTTTGATATTCTTGATAATATGAATTAACAATAGTATTCACGCGCAACATTTATCCTCATGCTACCGAACAATATCTTGCTAATGTTCATGAGAACATTAGCTCATCAACAAAGAGCTGTTTGCATCCCTGGGCCAAGTGGGTGCTCGCGGCCTTTTTTGTGGAGCAGGTCGCATCTCGTCGCCCCAAAGTGAAAACAATTACGCTGAGGGCGCCCGGAACAGATCTACTCCGAGTGAGGCTGAATAGCGCAAAAGAACAAGAATCCCCTTCCATCGCCAACCCTTCTTCGCTAGCTACAAGTCTTAGCCCTCAGCGGCTCCCATTGAAGACCGTCTCCCCGCAGCCGGTCGCAGAACATTAGCTGAAGCAGTGCCTCGGCAGCCTGGTGCATTCCTGCACACCGGCGCCTAGCATGCTGGGCATTATCTAACAGAGAATGTATTTACAAAGCTCGAAGACACTCCTGAGCTGGGGCAAGGTTGTTGCAAGCTCAGAAGCACACAGCGCACTCAAAGAGGGTGAGGATGACCTGCAGATTGGGCACAAAGACTTGCACTTGGCTAGCAAGTTGTTCCACTGTCTTTTCTAAGAACCTCAAGCCTCAAGAGTATACCTAAGCCTTGAATCAACTTCCTTGAGCACAGGACATGCTACTCCCGAAACCTTTTCAGATTGAAGCTTGGAAGCCTTCTGGGTCGGCACCAGCTTCCAGGAGGCTGCTGGAGCTGAGCGAATAATACTGCCTCGCGAGCTACCAGGTGCTGTCGCAGGTGCCAATACATCAGCAATAGCTGGGGATGTATGATTCTTTATACTATGTCATTATCTGATTGTACCATAATATCTTCTTATCTTATGTTTGAATTTGAGGTTGTTGAGCCCTGTGCCCAAGCCTCCTTCTCCGGAATCCTCCAGCATGATGGCGTGTCTCTGGTTCGGCATCTGCGAAACGGGCACCGGCGGACACCTTGACGTCCAGCGACTTGAAGAAGCCTGGGAGTTTACGATATTAGGGGTACCCTATTAGAAGGGGATCCTACTATTTGGGGGGGTTATCTTAGGGGTCCCTTACCCCCACCTCGCACTCGCCAGCTTCTAACGGAGGCAACTGTTTCGAATGACTCCGAGTCCTTTAAGTGGTGCAGGGCTTTGGGCACCTTCACATGCTGATGGTTTGACAAGGCCGGTCAATGGATGTGTCAGATGGCTCTCAGCTCCCACTCTTGACTGTACCGCAGCATGAGCCCTCAAGCACGAATGCAGCAAGAGTCGATACAGATACGCCGCAGACACGAAAGCCACAATCCTTGCTGCACAAAACTCAGCAGCAACGAACTGTGCCCACGGACGCTTCGGTATACATGCTTGCTCTCCTTTCTCAAAAGCATCATCCTTTTCAGCCAAGGCTCAGGTAGCCAATAATAAGCAGCCAAAAGTAAAGGTAGCCATTTGTCCACAGCAGCTCGGGAATTGCTGGGCGCCCAGCTTCATCCACAAAGTTCATGCCGTAGACACCACACAGGAATTGTGCTGGGCAGAAAATGGTTGTCACCAGAGTGAGAACCTCAGGAAGACTTTATATGTACATAATATACTCAAATCAAAATATACATATATATATATACACAATATGACATATACTACAATAGAACACAGAATACAATCGAGTATAATACCTGCGTCTGCACTCCGAGGCTGATCCTGTGCCAACTAGGTTGCGCACGAAGAGGATGTTGTTCAGGCGGTCTGCTTGCTTGGCGCGAAGCATCTCCTGATCCCGAAGGAGCTTGTCCTGCTCTTGTTCGGCCAGCCGGTCATGCATTTGCTGCAGGCCTTAGATGAAGCTCGCGCTGTCAACTGTGCGAAGTACTGACGCTTCGGCATGCATATGGCAAGGATGAGCAGGCTGGCCGAGATGCCGATGCACTTTTCGGCCAGGCGCCCAGAATCATCACGAGCTTCTTCTAAGTGGTCCACGACGTCACTGAGGTAGCTGAACATGCCTGCAACTGCCCGCAACACGTGAAGCTGCCTAGTATGATTCGGAGATCTCTGAACCTGCACGACACCTGTGGAACTGAACGGAACTGTACAATGTTCCCAGGAACACAACGTGGGGCCTTCAGAGAAGTCCTCATCGGCGAGCAATCGGCGCACCACGCGCTGCAGACTCTTGCCACGACGATCGACTAACGCCAATTGTGTGCGGATTGTTGCTGCCTCTTGGCCAGCCGAGTCGACCCTGTTCGCTTCGGTTGCATCCTGCTCCAGAACTTGCAGCCGATTTCCAAACGCACGTACCACGTCGCTGATCTCGTCTGCACAAATATCAAGGACAGCGTGCACGAAGAAATTCGCACGCCGCTCACGCAGGCGCGACATCGGCTGGCGCAAACGCTTCTCGATCTTCTTGAGCTTCAGCTCGGGCCTTTGCAGTGTGGTGGAGACCGAGGTCGTGCCGGCGTGAGGCCACTCCTTTTCAAAAGACTGATCCTCTTGACAAACAGTGATGACAGTGTCCATGTTGGGCGCGCCTGCGCAAAAAAAGGATACGTGATGTCCCATGACCTCAACTGGCCCATGCTCTTTGCGTTGATGCGTCAGTGATATGCGCTCGATGGTGCCAAAGTAGTGATCTCCATATCGGTCAATCTTACAAGGGTTCTGCTGAATAGTATCCTCAACAGCTAGCGGATGCAAACTGTACTTCACTGCTAGGGCAAGAACCACTGACAGCTCCAGTCCTGTGACGTGCACCCATCGCACCGCAGACTGTATACCATTCGAGACCGTAGGCCTGTGTCCAAAGAAAAACTGCCTGCATTTGTCCTCTGACAATGGTTGCGGCTTTTCTGGCTCGATGCTGCGCACGCTGTAGTCGGTCACCTTCAGGCACTCGATCGCCCGCGGGTGCTGCTCCAAGCCTGTCACCAAACGAGCCAGGACCGTACGGGACACGATTGCCTCGAACTCTTGCAGCTGGAGCCCTTCGCTGGGGTTGCGGGAAACTGCCGCCAATATCTTTTGCCGTATCGGCATCGCCGGCTCTGGCAGCCCATATGCCTGCAAGGCTTTCGCCAGCTGCTTGCCAGTCGCTAAGAGATGCGTTCTGGAACTATGAGCTTCAAAGACCTCGAATATGCGCTCAGGGCTTAAATCGAAAAGCGACTCCAACAGATCCTCTCGGACGTCGTCGTGGCGGTTGTTCAGGCTAGGTCCAACAAGCTGAGTGGCATCGAGAATGCATTGGCAGTCAACACTGGGCTCATCCGAGCTCCACTTGTATAACAAGTCGCACCAGAAGTCCCCGTCCGACTCGACGGTATCGAGGCGGAAGGAGTTCTCTGCTTCTGAAGCAGACTGCTCGCGCTCGAATTCGAACTTAGGTGACCGGATCTCGGAGTCTTCCTCATCTTGTGTATCCTGCCGTTGTAGTCCATAACACTTGGCACGAGACCAGGCCAACACACGGGCACGCTGAACCATTGATAAACCGAGCTGTTGCAAGTCTTCCTCGTCAGATTCGCTTTTAAGGCAAGCAAAAAAGAATGCCTACAACATGCCTACACTGCTCAGATGTCCTATGTTTTGCTCGCACAGGGCGCAGCGAGAGGTCTAAAGCA